CGCCGCAAGGGCCGCAGCTACTAGCGGAAGCTGGCTGGGTTACGGTGGGGCCCAAGAAGCGCCCCGCGGCGAAAAGTCGCGCCCGTAAGCTCCGTACGCCCCGGTCCCAGGCAGTCGTTTTGACGCTGCAGCCGGGGGCGGTGGAAAAGGGCGCGACTTACGCAAGTGTGATCGCCTCGGCCAAGGAGCGCATAAATCCCGCAGACTTCGGGGCCCAGGGGGTCCGTTTCCGAAAGGCGGCCAACGGAGGTCGCCTTTTCGAATTCCCCGGCACCTCCAGTGCCGAGAGGGCGGACCTCCTGGCGCAGAAGCTGCGGGAGGTGCTAGGCAGTGAAGTCGTTCGGGTCACGCGGCCAACAATGATGGTAGGCTTGCGGGTATCTGGCCTGGACGACTCCGCCACCAGTGCCGAGGTGGTCACCGCGATCGCTGCAGCGGGTGGGTGCCCCGCCGAGCAGCTGCGGGCAGGCGAGGTCAGGGCCGGCCGCGACGGACTGGGATCGGTGGTGATCCAGTGTCCCGTCGCGGCAGCCAAGAAGGTCGTCGATGGAGGGCGCTTGCTCGTTGGCTGGGTGTCCGCTCAAGTCAAACTGATGGACGCCCGGCCGACCAGGTGCTACAGGTGCCTGGCACTTGGCCACCTGTCCGGCCAGTGCCCAGAGGGGGTTGACCGCGCGGACCTATGTTTCCGCTGCGGTCAACCGGGGCACAAGGCCCTCGGGTGCGCAGCCGCGCCGCGCTGCGTGGTGTGCGCTGCGGCCGGTGTATCGGCGGATCACCGTGCCGGCAGCGGAGCATGCGCTCCCCCACCCAGGGGGAAGAGGAAGGGAGGTAGGGATGGCCCGGTTCCAGGGTCGTCCTCTTCTGCACCGCAGGCGGTAGCGCGAGGGGCTGAGGAGGTTCAAGTAGTCGGTGTTTAGTATGGACCTGAACCTCCTCCAGGCTAACATCAATCACTCCGCCAGAGCTCAGGACCTCCTGTTCCAGAGCATGGCGGAGTGGTTGATCCACGTAGCCGTGGTAGCCGAGCCCTACCGCGTCCCGTCTGGGGATGACTGGGTGGGGGACATCGATGGTGTGGTGGCCATCGCGTCCCGGTCCGTTGTGGGTTCCCCGGCCTTCGTCGACGTAGTCCGAGGCCGGGGATACGTCTCCGCTCTTGTCGGCGACATCAGGGTGGTCGGAGCGTACTTCTCGCCAAATCGGAGTCTCGCCGACTTCGAGGATTTCCTTGCCGAAGTCGGCGTCCTGATAGGCAGAAGTCGCTCTGTCCGAATCCTGGTCGCGGGCGACCTCAACGCCAAGTCGGCGGCATGGGGTTGCCCGGCGACGGATGCTCGCGGACAAGAGCTGGAGGAGTGGGCGACAGCGACCGGACTTACGGTCCTGAACCAGGGGTCGGTAAACACGTGCGTGCGGCGTCAGGGCGGCTCCATTGTCGACGTCACGTTCGCCGATGCCGCCCTGGCACGCCGTGTTCGGGGCTGGGAGGTGCTGGAGAATGCGGAGACGCTGTCGGACCACCGTTACGTGCGGTTCGGCATCTCCGCGTCTCCAGCTAACCCGAGAGGCCCGAGCCGACCCCTGCGAGGGGATGGTCCCCGGTGGTCGCTGTCGCGAATGGACCGGGACATGGTGGTCGAGTCCGCCCTTGTGGAGGCGTGGTTCTCCGCGCCACAGGGCGATGTCGATGATGTCGGGGAGGGGGCGGCGCGCCTCGGCAGTGCCATTATGCGCATCTGCGACGGGGCCATGCCTCGAGTGCGTTCTGTCCCCTCCAGGCGGCCGGTGTACTGGTGGTCCGAGGAGCTGACCATGCTGCGCAGTT